AAGGGTGGGTGTCAGGAGGATGGGGCCAGACTCTTTTCAGTGGTGCCCAGCGACAGGACAAGGGGCAACGGGCACAAACTGAAGCACAGGAAGTTCCGTCTGAACATGAGGAAGAACTTCTTCCCTCTGAGGGTGACGGAGCACTGGAACAGGCTGCCCAGGGAGGTTGTGGATTCTCCTTCTCTGGAGATATTCAAGAACCGCCTGGACGCGGTCCTGTGCAGCCTGCTGTAGGTGACCCTGCTTCGGCAGGGGGGTTGGACTAGATGACCCACAGAGGTCCCTTCCAACCTCTACCATTTTGTGGTTCTGTGTAATTCAGACTCGGGAAGAGACTAGATTCATTCTATGTAGGCCCTCGTATTAGGCGCATAATCACCTGTCATTCCATATCACCTCTTCCCCCACTGACTTTCAAAAGGCAGTTCAGACCTTGACATAACAAACTATTCCTTAGACAGGACTGTTGCTCCCTGTTGCCCATATGGGAACCCAGGGCAAGGCGCCTTTGGTGGGGTGCTTGAAATTTGGTGAGAATTGGAGCCCAGGTGCCTGCGCTCCCAAGTGGTCAGTCTAGACCAAACGAGACTGCATTTTTCCTGAAGAAACTGCTTTCAGAGACCCTGTTTATTCTTCAAGAAATATCTTTCATCTTCAGAGTGCTAAGCAAACACCAGCTAATAAATCCTATCGGAGGGAGGAGCGAAATTCTTGGGAGAGAGGAGTAGAGAAGGGCAATGTGTTATTTTTCCCTGGGATGACTGACACATTAATGGAGTGGTCTGCATGCAGACATTTAACATGTCACAGCCCTGACTAGCAGCAGAAAGGACAAATCCCACATGTATTTTAGGGCAGTTCTCCCCTCAGATAGAAGTCAGCTTTTGATTACCTGTTATGTTATGTACACATCTGTATGTCATCACTTTGTTCTTTGTGTCCCCAATTTCTTTCAGGAGACTCATGGTGAATGCATTCAAGGCCTGGAGGCGGTACCCATTACTGATGAAAAAGGAAAGAGAGAGAGAGGAAAGGAGAAATCAGCTACGCAGGAGAGTAGCTGAAATTCTCCCTGACTTCCAAACATAACAGGAGAGAGTCAAAGGAGACTGGGAAAGGGGACAAAAAGACAGATTCTGTTCAGTGCTATCTTCCTACTGACTGAAACAGAGCCAAGGGGAAGCCCTGTCCAGTGCAAGGGGTCTTACAGCCAAAGGAAGCTCCTCGGGGCCACTACTGTAGTACACCAAGCATATATGGAAACGTGGCTGATGGTTTCACTTTGCACTTCAGGGGGTTATTCCCCACAAGGTCCTTCTGTGAAGTGTCCGCAGGGGTGTCTTTGCTGGTGGCAGTGAGGCCTAGGTAGCCAAAGCCTAGCACAGAGCGTGTTTCAGGCCAAGACCATTTCTACACGCAGAGCTGCAGCACTGACACGAATCCTCCTTCAGCGCAGGAAGCACAGAACTGAACTGCACCTATTTTTCTTTAAGCAGTAACCTGGTGGTTTTCTGTTGCCAGCACGCTGTAGGGTGACACAGCTTGATCAGAGCGCAAACAGACCTGACTGTCAGCTGACCCCTGACCACTACTGCAAACTTGGCCACCCAGAGAACAGTTTCTAGTGAACAGTGCCAGGAAAGTTTGGATGGGAGGAGGAGAGGGAAGAGCTAGTCATATTTGCTAATGGTCCAGATCACAGCATCACATACAGACAATCTAAAACCTGGACTCATTTTCAAGGGACTGCCTAGTTCACAGCACTGGCCAGCTCACAATCACCGTGCTTTGATTTTGGTGTCAAGCAGTGATTCCAAGTTTATGAGTCTCTATCTTCTTGTCATTTAAACATTTTCCAAGTCAGATGAGCTGTAGTATTTAAGAATTTATTGTGCAAGTCTGTATGGGCCTTTTCACTTGATCCAGCACTTCAAAAAAACAAAAATCCAAGAAAAAGGCAGACTGTATTTTTACATAAGCTAAAGCTGACATGATTAAAATTAAAGTTTCTTAGCACTGTGTAATGGCATTACCCTATCTGCACTATGCTGCAGGTTAAAGTACAGTATGTCTTCTCTTAGCAACAGCATAAGGCAGGAATCTGGAATTGCTTCCCCCTCACAACAGGACAGGCAAAGTTCTCTCCAAGAGCATTTGGCAGTACAGGGAGCACTTAGGTAACGCCAGAAAGAAGACTGTTTACTGTTATGCATTGTACTGTATAATTTTTGAGTCCTGTATATGCAGTGAAAGTTTCCAATAAACCTGAAGACTGTTTACTGTTATGCATTGTACTGGATAATTTTTAAGTCCTGTATATGCAGTGAAAGTTTCTGATAAACCCAAATCTGAAATGAGCACAACCGAGTTGTTGGTGCGAATGTGTTAGAAGCCGGTTGAGTGGCACCAGACAGAAGTCCTGGGTCAGGGACCTAAAGCAGCACTATGCACTGCCGGTGAAGCGGTATGGGGCATGTCGGGTGCCCAGGCGCAGCAGCAGGCTCCAGAGCGTTGGCAGCGGGAGTCTGTCCATGCGGAGAGCTCACAGGGCTGTGGTCTGAAGCCTCCCTGCCCACACGAGCCAGGCTGTCGAGCAGACTCTCGGTGTATGTCTGAAGATGATGTCACTCCCAGGTTAGGTCCCACAGCCATCCTCTACAACACACAAAGGTTTACCATCTCCCAAAGGCTGCTTGCAGACCTGACCACCAGCAGGTCAGATGAGCGCATTATCCAAGTGCAGGGAGCTGAAGGTGCCTGCGTGGAGTGTGGGCGAGTACAGACCATCTGGCTGCATTACAGGCAGATTGTGAGAGGAAGTGACAAGCTGAGAGAGGGCTGAATAACTTCTCCTGCAGGGAGGGACAGGCACCGCAGAAGGGTAGCATCTTTGCAGAGGACTCAGCCAAAGAGGCAGGGAAGAGCAGAGCAGGGGGCTGAGCTACCAAACTAACACCCCAGTGCAGCCAGCAGCCACACTTGGTGTTAATAGCTGCAAGCTGTGGCAGCACAGCAGCAGCAATCCGCTTTCTCTTAGTACGCTTTCTTCCCTTGGAAGCCTCTCCCACTTAGCGCCTAACGAGCTCCTGAACACCTCCGAACCAGCCCTTATGCTCCCATGTTACTGGTGCCCTTTTCCTAAGCTGAATTCCTCCTCACCAGGGCTTGGCAACGAATGCAGCAGGGAAAGTCTCCAGCCCACCCTCCATCTGGATTCATGGCACAAGGAGGATAGCGAGCCAGAGGATGAAAGGCGAGCATACAAGGGCTTTCTCAGCTAGAGAGAAGGTCGCATCACAGCCAGCCAGAAAGAAGACAACACCGCGGCGGTAACGGGAGCAGCAGGAGTATGGAGCACTGGAGTGGATGGGCCCACACGCAGCCTGGTCTTGACCCTAGCAAAAGGCTGAGCAGGCATTGAATCTGCATCTCTCACACACTGAAAGGGTGCACCAAACCACTGGGTACTCAGGTGCATCCAGTTTACTCACCTGCAGGTTCTTTCCCCAGCAATGCCACACTTGCACATATTGTCCTTGTGGTCCACAACTCGCACTCACCATTCACAAGTAATTCTGCTTATGTGGACCATAACTCCCTCCAAAGAACCTGAAGTACAGTCAACGCTTACTTTTGATACCAGCCTTTGTCTGCAATACTCTTACCTTCTAGGGTTTTCTTCTATTCTTAGTAGATTTGAAAGAAATTCTCCTGGTAAGATGCTCTTTGCCTAGACAGTTCCAGCAGCAAGAAGCCAAAAGAAAATGCAGGAGGAGCTGTGCTTTGACACCCCTTTACCCTTGCCTACTGCTAATTCAATGCTAGCATGGAGCTGAAGCCGCAGCTGGATCCAGCTGAGGGCTAGGGATGATGTGCAGGGATTAGGCGCATTCATACTGAACGTGGTCTGAAGCAAAGGGGAGATGAGAAGCCCCTTGACTTCCCCATTCTGTTCACACCTGGTTGAAACAACTTGTACCTCCTTGGCAGAAGCAAGGCTGTGCCCGACGATGCTGTTGAGAGACTGCACAGGACATGACTAAAATCCCCAGCATGATATTAGTGTTTTGCAAATTAAAACTCCAGCAAACAGTTCCCAGCAGGAGGGTGACACACAAGAGAGCTTGTCAGATCGAGGAAACGGCTTCAGCCTGCACCTGCCAGAGCATACCTCCTGCTCCAGCACTTGGTTAGATGCAGATGTCAATGCTTTAATGCTGGTCATCAGCCCACACTCCAGCCTGTCAGCTCCTAGCTTTTCTTAGCAAGAGAGGGAGGCGGCTGCACAGCCAGCCTTTCCTTCTCCTGCACGGGGGGGGCCTTTCCTTCTCCTGCACAGGGGGGGGCAGGATTTTCATTTTGGTACAACAGCAAACGCAGAACCCTGAAATGATCGCAAACTCTCCCTCTCCCCAAACCCATCCCCAGCTGACACCTGCCCTCCAGGGTTCCTACATACTTTCCCAAAAACCTTGACCTCAGAAATACCATCTTCTCAGTAAATCTGTACACTAGTCTCTTCAAAGTCTCCCAGGCCCAGCTCAAACTGGATTTGAAAGAGTGCCCGAATTGTTCAATAATTTCCTCTGCTCACCCCAGGCAAACAAGACTGTAGCTGGGGACGGTAGGTAGCCTGGGAAGGGTCTATGAACCACTGCAGTCTGATCCACAGCTCACATCTTTGCAGGCCTGGTACCTGTCGTAGACACCAGCCGCAGCAGCACACCTTGGCCTTCCCCAACACGTGAGCTGCCACTCCAGACATGCTCCTGCTGTGCAGGGGCAACACCACAAGCCACAAGGGGAAAAAACAGAAACTGGAGAGAGACAGTAGTCTCATGTGTCCCCGTCATCAGCATGGGAGTTGATGAACATGGTGGCTGCTGGGGTGTCAGAAGTCGGCACACGCCACTCTCGCCTAACGACAAACCTGGTTCACTGCTAGTGCAAGGTCCTCATTGTCAGCGAGTGCAAAGTCATCTTCAAAGAGAAACAGCTGAAGAGCAGACAGAAGTGCCACCCAGGCAAATCAAAGCAGAGCTCAGGGAACAATCAAAGGCACCTGTGATTCTACTCATTAAAAGTCATCTTGCCTTTCAGCAGATATCCCAAGATAACAACAGGATCAAAGGCTACATCTCTTCCCACTATCTGCACAGAGAATACCCATGTCATTTCCAAACATGGCTTAGAAGAGGGTTTAAAGAAAGAGATTGTTCCTTTTTGGGGTTCTGGTTGTATTGTGTAGAAGGGAAAGCAAGACACTGGACAAAAAGGGTAGGAACCTGAACAGATACAAACCCTCAGTATCTGATAATGGATTGCTCTTGGGATGCAAGATCTCAGTTCAAAGCCCCAGCACAGGGGAATATCCCTGCTTTCCAGGGTGGTGAGAACTGCCAGCAGGTCTCTCATCCCAACACCAACAAACCCAAATGTCAATATTGGCAGAACTGGAGGAACACTTGTTTCCTAGCTTTTTCTTAGCCTGTTGCTCCCTTATTCCCAAGTCCAGCGCACAGCTAGCTAGCCATGAGATGATGGCAGCTTTTGGTCATTTGACCTGGCTGAGTGTGTTGGCATAAATCAACAGGCAACTCCACAGATTATTTCTAATCATTTATTTTAATTCATAATTACACCCATTTGGAAACACTGAATAAGATGCAAAATGGACACGAACACACCCACCCACCCCAGTCCTTTCAACAAAGCTCACAAATATGTTTCAAAGTTTCTTCCTAAAGCTTAGGGTGGGGAAAAAACCTCAACACCCCTATCACCCAAAAACACCCCAGTCCCCACTTCTTCCAGAGCCCGCCATTCTTCACGTTATCATTAGAGGAGTTCCATAAAGCCAAGATCTTGGGAGGCTGAATTCCCACATTTCAGAAAGCACCTCACCTGTCCACAGAAAGATTTTCACTGTACAAACATCTTGACAGTGGAAGAAAATCCTAGGAAACTGTAGAGTTCTTCACTGAAAGCAATACAGGAAAACACATCCATAATCACACACGCTTCCTGCCCTAATGAGGCAATATACATTCATATAGGAGGAAAAAACGAAACACATTATTAAGACATTAGGCAGTGAGGCAGTATCCATTTTATCTTCAGAAGAAATTTTACAGCAAATGATTTCATTAAGACACTTGAAAGCAACCTACTTTGAAGAAAAAAGCACCATCATAGCATGAAGGCTGAAACGCGATTAGGAGTCACAAGCGGTGCCAGCTCAGGCTCACCAGTGACTTTTGTCATTTGAGGACAAGTTAAATGGAGAAACAGTCGATGTGGGGACCTGTGACTTGCCTACAAAAAAAAGCACAATTTAAGAAGACACAGTTAAAGCATGCCACGCCGTCATTTACAGGGTGTGTCTAACGGTGCACAGCTCTTGGTGTAGTCACCAAACAGCAGGGTACTGGCTTTTGTACACAGAGGGCTGAACACTACAACAGCAGCAACATCAGAACCCTGGCCCCTTAAGAGTTGCCCTAGTCTGCAGAAGCCCTCACAATTTGTGAAACAACAGATGCCTCTTAAAAGGTCATCATTAAAGTAGGATAAACTCATTTCCAAGTCTGGGTGGTGAAACATCAAGGCTAGATATTACCAAAATCCTTCCCTGTTTCTGACCAGCTCTGGGTCCTCTGTTCTTACACAGGGAAAACTTTTCCAGGGCCATCAGGGTACAGTTTTCTGCACTGCCAGGTACATGCACACAGTTTTACAGGTGAGACACTGGTCCCCACCTCAAGGCCATGCACACATGACCCACAAGTCACCTGTCAAATGCAGACTGCTCCCACTGCTCCAACACCCAGGCAGCATGGACCTAGGCAGCTACTAACAGAGTGAGCCCAAGGACTGACTATGCCTAGGTTTCAACATGTTTCTACCAGCGTGGCCAAAAACAAGCTCAGCAAGAAAATAATCAGAAATTGCCCTTTAATGCACAAGAGATCACAACAGTCTGCCCTCGCTATAAGTGCAAAAGGGAGCATTACCCTTCAAGGGCTTCTTGCTAGTTCTCAGGGCTATTAAAATGAGAGCTCCCAAGTATGTATCCAAAGCTCGAAACTCTTCTGCCCTTTTAGATGGCAATATATCGTGTTACTTCACGCTTTCCACCTCCCAAGGCTTTCACAAGGTAAATCCTCTCAGGAAGAAGCCAGGATGGTAAACAAAAGTCATGTCCCTAAAGAAAAAGTCATCATTGCTATGCAGATTACAGCCACATGAACTTCCTGTTCACTGGGGAATCAGCACTGTATTCTCCTCCCACAAAACCCCAGCCTTGCAACCATTTCAGTGTCCTGAATGGCTCCTATTCCCTCTGGAGGGAGCACAAAAATAAAATTTGAGTGCTTTACCCCCACTGTATTGGGGTGGGCTTGACCAAGGTACAGAACGGTTACATTAGTCCAAGGTCCTCTGTTCCCAGGGTGCACTCCAAAGCCTACGCTGCCTGGGAGAACCCGACCAAGAGTCTCAGTGTAAGCAGTTCAAATTAAATCTCCCACGCCAGAGCTAAGAGACAAGGGACAACGCTACACTGACAGACAGGCTGCGAAGTAGTAACCAGTGTCTGCTTGTGGGAAAAAGTGAGCACAACAGGGTCAGGCACCGCCAGGGAAATGATCTGCGATCTGCTCTGCGTTCTCCCAGCCAGGAGCAGCAGGACTCAGAAACCACTCATCTCAAACCTGTAAATGCTCCCAGAGCTCATTCAGCTCATGACTGAATTCTGCGCATGTGACTTGCGGGGACAGAAAGGTTGGCTACCTCCACCGCAGGGGTTCATTTAGCCCAGGAGATCATTCTGCCTTGATCTTCCCAAGCACCAGCAGCATGAGGTCTGAGAAGATCGAAAATCTGCTAGCCCACAGCACTCCTGCCTCTGGGGTCGCCAAGCTCCAGTTCACCTCAACAGGCACTGCAAAATGCCTACATGCCACAGAAACGTTTACAGACAACTCATGTCGAGCTGAGGTCTTCGCATGAATATAAACTCCTAGGGTCAGGCTCCAAGCTCCAAACAGTCAGAAGGTCATAGAGAAAGAGTTAGCACAGTCCAGCTGAGTGCCTTTTTCTTCACATTAGGGCCAGGGAAGTGGTCAGAAACCTCTTCGTGTGTTCAGTCACAGGGAGGAAGCAAGAGAGGTGTCCCCTTCACCTCCTTATAAAGGATTGCTCACTGGATGAAAAAGGAGTAAGAGGAAAGAAGGAATGCTTGGCAAGTCAGTAGATCTTTCTGCACAGCCACATTCAAAGTGCAGCTGCTCCTCAATTATCTGTCGGTTTTAGAAAGTGACACTTGAGGAAACCAAACAGTGTGAAGAAGGGCATGGTCTTCACCTTAAACTGGGACATGTAATCAGGAGCACACACACCAAATATGGCAGGGATCTCCAGGGACACTCTCAAGCCTGCTTACCATCCACCCATTTTTCAGAGATAGCGCACAGTGAGTTTGCGTCGCTCAACCAACATCCTCCACCTGCCTGCCATGCAACTGGAATCAAGGGTAGGTATGAACTGTGCGTGCTGCACACTCATCTAAAAACACCAGTAGCTAGCACAAGGCTCTTCCCTCTGCTTCAGCATCTTAGGCCCAACCCAAAACTCTTGTGCCACAGTCCCAGGCTTTTCCAGCCAGACCTTTCGTATTATTACTGCAGGGTCAACAACATACTCAAAGGGTTTAAAACAGAAATCAACAAAAAAAGACACCCACCCACAAAAAAGGGAAACCATCAACACCAAAACCCTGTGATTTCAGCTGAAGCTCAAGTCTGGCCAATACAGTTGCATGCTACTGAGGAACACATGGCATTCTTCCAGAACACATTTAACGCATTCGTTCACCTGCCCGTGCAGGTCACCTACCCCAAAAGCAGCCGCCAGAGACTCAACTGTTTCTCAGCTTCCTGGCTCAAGAAAAAAGATCTACAATCAGGCAGCTCTAGGGAATGGGTTGAGAGGAGAGAGGATCACTATGTTATTAGCAACACAACCAAGATGCCGCCTACCAAAAATGCCGTTATCAGAATTGTCTACTCTCCCACAGAGGGAGGGAGAAAGGTAGTTTCCATAAAGCAACACTAACATCAGACAGCACTCTTTTTTCCTCTCGGAGTCCACTGTTACATGTTGCTTCAAAACATTTCCTTCTTACTTGGCATATGTACCTGCTGCCTCATGTCACGCTCCATAATCAAAGCAGAAGCACTTTAAAGGAAAGGAGCCAAGCCTTCAACCCAACGCAGACCCAGCTTGCAGAAAGAACGACGAGATGCAAGCTGACAGTGTCTTCTCACCCAGTCAGACGGACAGGGATGGAACAACAACTTTGGGGGTCACAAGGTGAAGGGATCTTACATGTTGCTCACAAAGGCACTTAATACAAGCATATATACAGTTGGATGGAATAGAAGATAGAAAAAAACAAAACAAAAAAACCCGCACCAGAGAGGAGGAACTGCTCCATGACTGCCTAGACAGTTTCTTTGAGCCAAAGAGCCTGGCTTCTGCAGTGGTCCGTCTGTCATCTGTGGTAAAAGTTCACCCTCCTGACATCTCTGAAATGTTGCACGTAGGTACAAGCTGGGGATTCCTTAGCCTTTGCAGGAAACAGTGCATGCTCTGAAGTCCGGCAGCAGGCTCCTCTTGATGCCAGGGTTCACACCTAACGGAAACTCAAGCTGTCAAAACCTTGTTCTCTTCTTCCTGTTGAGCTGCACAAAGTTTTCCTTGCTGGAAAAAGGCAGCAGGCTCCTTCTCTCCATTTTTGTGCATATGGCTTATGGCTTTCTGCAGCCTACTGCTGGCTGACAGCACGCAAAGAACCATACTGCCCGGGAAAGCCTCCGATGTTGTCAGTGACAGGATAGGCAGCCCATGCACCAGCTGCAGAAGAGGGATGTGGAAGAAGGGAGTCTTAGTGGAAGGGGCCGTTCCTCTGCTAAAGAAAGTCAGTCAACGTCACCTGCAGAAAGTGGGGTGTCACACGATGTCTTCAGCAGAGCGCTGTGAAGGAGAAGACCCCAGGCTCAAGAAATGGCCCCAGTTGCATAGGAAACCCCTGTTATACTGGCCAGTGTCTATCACTAACCCACCCAGGAGCCTGCGCCCAGTGTTGTCCCGCAGAGCCAGCCGAGCTTCCCTCTCGGTCACGTTGTAGCTGATGTTCAACAGCTGGATAAGGAGGATGTATCCCATGCCAGCTGTTACAATGGCACAGTACCACACACAGGTGAACGACAGAGCAGAGCTGGCAGCAGGGAAAAAGATGGGAAGGAAGCCATTTAGTTTTGGAGCATCTGCTTTAGAGAGACTTTCCCTGGTAATCACTACCCTTTCAAATCCCTGCTACATCTGCCACAGTGATCTCACTTCGCTGCTTTCATCAGATAATCCTGAAAAGCTTTCTCAAAATTAAAGCTTCAGGGCTTACTTAGTAAGAGCTTTTAGCATTACCAGAGCTACTCTTGCACGTTGCTATCACACTACCTAGCTCTTTACTCTTACTGTTGTAAAGGTACTCGGTCCTTATTTAAGGGCACAACGATACTCATGCTTGATAGAATGTGAAATGGAATACAGAAGAAGGTAGAGTCACTCGTGCAAGTGCACTCTGCCCATCAGTGGTAGCACCAGTCTCTGAACTCGCCCTCCCTGCCAGACAAGGCATATTAACACTGTCTGTTCTAAGCGGATAACTCGGAGGGACAGTCACTAGATAAACAGCAAGGGATGAGAGGGAGAGACAGCAGGCGGATTCCAGGCTGTCAGACCCTTACCTGCAACCAGGGGCAAACATATTTAAGGGTGTATCTATACAGGACACAAGAAATAAAGACTTCAAACCCCAGCTTCTCCAACAACTTTTTCCAAATAAATGGTGGGCTCTCTCTGAGTCTCAGGGTCCCCACCTTGGCACGAGCAGTGATGTATCCCTGCTTTCCATAGCTTTTTATGGAGTGCTTTTTGGTCAGGTTTGACAGCCAACAGCACTAGCCTAGAGCACAGAATTAGGAACAGGAGCTAAGCTGCCTGACCAAGCCCATGCCCACCCCAGCGCTCTCCCAGACAGACGTCTCACCTGTAGTCAGAATAGGCCCCGGGGCAGTAGAACAATGCCACAAACGGACTTCGTCCCCTACAGACGGTGTGCAGGGTCAACGTAATCCCATACACAGAGGTGAGCATGAAGAAGGAGAGTGCAAGGATGAATGCTTGGTGGTTCTGCTCCCCTACACAGCTGTTAATCCTCCAAAAGGAAAGAAGAGATTACTTTGCTTAAAAAGAAAAGAAGCTGGCTTCCCTTGCTTCCTCCCTCCCCCAGCTGTCAGAGAACCTGTTTTCCAAGGTGCTTCTAATACAACACAGGCTAAGAACTTTGAAATGCATTCAAAGAAGCTTTGTAGCTTTTTATAGAAAGGTTATAGGCACAAGTCAAGAGACCAGTAGGGTAATGGCAGTGGACCATTTACCTCAAACTTTTAGCAAGTGTAGTATTCTTCGCTGAGACACATCTATACCCTACTGCTCCTTGGTTCCAGTACCGCATGCACAGAGGCAGCTTTGGGTTCCCTTGCCCCAGGAGAGCACTAATGCAAGCTAACTGCAGGATCGCTAGCGCTCCACAGACCAAGTCTTAAAAAACAAAAAACCAGAACCAAACCAAAAGTCTGGAAGAAAACCAGTAGCGAACCAAAGGCAATTCTGAAGTCTGCTGTAGAAGTTTATCAGCTATCAGGTCAACCCACTTACAAAAGTTGTTCAAGTTGTTCTTTAAAATGGTAAATATGAGTTTATGTTTTAAATAACATCACCAGGTCTTGCATGTAACAAAAGCAACCCCACTTGACAATGGCCATAAAAAAAAAGCAGCTAACTTAAGAAAGGGGAGAGGGAGAGAGAGAGGTAGAGAGAACACGCGTAGCCTCAGCAGTGCAAGACCTACCAGACACAGTGATGGTCCAGTCTCCTCACACACCTGCCACAGAGCCGGCAGTGCCCTGCTCGGGCTGGTCTGATCAGCTGGCACCTAGCGCACCAGTCCTTCTGCAGACCTTCCGGCTCCCCAGCTGACGCCCTGGCATGGCCTTTGGCCTCCCCGTTCACGGCACGGCCGCCG